AAAGAACCTATAAGACCTTTAAAGACTGTTTTCACCAGCTTGATTCCATGTTTGCCTGGCTCAACTAGAACTTGGAGAGGGAGGCACAGGGACAGACTTTAGGTTGCTACACATGCCTATACCATTGGCTGGGGCACTGATTGTAGGCAGAACTGGATCCTGAGGACTGCACAAAGTGACCAAGGGCCTCTCCCATCTAGGCTGTCACCTTAGCTTCTCAAGTTATGTAAAGGTGAGCTCAGAGTGGCTGTTAATAGTTCACCCAAACTCGACACTCTTCTGTGACCTATGATCAAGTTATCTCAAGACTGAGGGGGGAGAAGAGGAGTCAGGGGCAACATAGGGTGATTTTAAGCACTAGTTTCTTTGTTTATGTTTCACGCCTGGAGATTCTGTGTCAGTAGATCTGAGGTGGGGCTTAAGCATCTATGTTTATAAATCTCTACAGGTGATTCTGAGGGGCAGCTGGGATTGAGACTCGAACTTATAAGGTGATTATGAGCATTAAATGAGATAATGTACCACACCTGATGTAGTGAGTGTTCAGATAACATGACTTATTATTGCTAGCATCACCTGATGGCCTATTGATTTACACTATTTCAACTATGTGTATCTGTTCACTCAGATGAAACCAGCTGGTGCCTTTGGGCATGGGTGGACAAGTCCCAGGATTGAGGAGATGAAGGAAAAGCTTATAAATCTTGCTGATTTTGCTTCTCAAGGAGTTGCTGTTTATTTTCCTTCCTCAGAAGAGGAATTTGCTTTCCCTTGCCCATGTTTTATTTGGTCTCTAGCAGCTCTAGAATTCCCTTTCAAAAATAATACCTGGAAGCTCACAGGAGTTACATAAATTACTTTCTGCTTTCAAGCAGGAAATGTCTCAGAGAACCCCATGTTCACTTTTGTGTTTGGAAGATGCCTGGTGTTCTTGTCAGGTTCCCACTGACCTTGAGACTATCAGATAGTTCTGAGAAGATCATGGAATATTAATGAGCTAAGTGGCTTTAAGATCCCTTCACCCCACCTCTGTCCTCTACCCTGTATGGGTTGGCCTATGAGTATTCAGGCCCATGATGTTTTTTTAATAGGACACTTCCACATACAACTGTTCTTAGAACAGAGGTCTTTTTGAAATGCAGGCTGGCAGGGCAGGCTTGCTCACTACAAGTCCCAATGACATCGGGATCAACTGAAATGGAGTCTTACTCTCCCCAACTAGCCCTGCTAAGGAAAGTCCTGCAGCTTCCAGCCCCCCACATCCCCTCTGCAAACTGAGGAGGAAAATAAAAATTCCTCTTCGCCTTGGCTGGCTAAGCTGAACCTTTCTGGCTGTTTATTGTGACCAGAGTAGAAAGAACTAAAGCCCCCAGGCTGCTTTCCACAAGAAAGAAATAGCTGATGGGACCTAGGCCACATCTTCCAAGCCCAAGGCAGGCTAAGTCTTCTCAGCTCCCAGCCAGCCATCAACATGGATTGATATATGGTCCTTACTCAGTACCTACCCTCGCCCACTCCACACAGAGAGCTGTAAGTCGGAGCTGGGAGCTGTGCCTGAGGTGATCATGCCTACAATATTGAGACACAAACAGAACTCCCACCTACCCTCCTTTGTGGTCATTACCTAGCCTTCCTAACTTCTAAAATGTTCTTTTTTTTTCTTGACCATGAGCCTATTATTCTCCTTCCTGGTAGCAATAATCTAATCTTGTGGAAGAAAATGGGATCTGAAGGTGTGATTAATCATTAATATTGATGAAAAAAGTCTCTTTGACTCTTGCCCCTCAATCTTTCCTTTTCAGTCTGTCAGCCAGACAAGCAACTTTGATGCCAAGTATTGACTTTTTTTCCAGAGCTCAGAAATGGTTTTAACTTTCTTTCATTTCCAGTATTTTATTTTGGCTATTTGAACTGGTGAATAAAGCCTGCTGAAGATTTAATGGACTCCAGCTTTGGATAATTGCTGATATATTATAGAAATTCATAGACCTTCACTAGTCATGTATCTATCCACTATTGGGGTCTGATCTCCGGATTTTCTCAGGAAGCTGAAGATGGGGCAAGGGCTGCAGAAATAGGAAACAGTATCCTTAAATACAAAGATTCTTCCTAGTAAGGCTAAGATGTTCCTAGCTAGGTTCCAGACTCTCAGTATCCTCATCATGGAACTGTCAGTCTTGCTGAAGCGACTGATCTTTGCCCTGATTTAGGGGCTAGTGTAACACCAGGCTGTGGGCTAGACAGAACCAGAACCAGAACTGGAGTAGGACCAGAGCCCAGCTCTCTTGACTCCTAGTTGAATCATCTTTCTGTGAGATGGCAAAAGAAACAAATTATTTTAGGGTCCTAAGGGTCCCATGTAAGACCAGGCTTTTGGGGTTTTGGTCAGCTTCCCCCATTGGTACAGTTGAGGGTGTTTAAACATTTAGCCAGCTTGGCCCTGGCCACCTATCAATCTATGGACACTAGCATTAATCCATTAGTGGCTGAATTGTGGGGAGGTCAGACGTGGTGGCAGGGGGCTCAGAACAGTAGCTGTTTCTGCACAAGTATGGTAGCATTTCAGTATTTCTATTGGTATGAACTGGCTGTGATTCTCTGGCTTCAACCACAGATGTGAAGACACCTACTCTGAGTGCCTGAGGCTTCAAGCCATAGGTGCAGATCTGATTACTGTCTGGCTGTTTGAAAATTTCACCCAAACAGCCGATTTGAGATTTTGCCAGGAGACAGTGATTTGTGTGCCTTGTATGTCAGGCTTTTAGGTCTCCAGTGAGACACAGGAAAACTTTCCTCTTTCTCTTCTCCCCAAACACAGGACTAGTCCTACTAGTTGAGGTTTTCCTTTCTGTTCTCAGCCTACAGAGGATGGGATTAAAAGCCTGCCGTTGACACTGCAGGGTATGAGATTGCTGAGTTTTAGGGGTGAATGCCTTAGAAATGAGCATTCATATGATGATCACAAACAGCCTCATCTCTTGATGAAAACACAGTATCTAGTGGCCTTTATTCTGATTACAAGGACGTTTTGAACTTTGTAGGATTTAGATGAGGTCCCCCAATAATTGCCCCTAAGTTTAAGAGGGCTGTGTTTTTTTTTCCTTCAAAGCCTTTCAGCCCTAGGTGAGCCTGAACACAGATGTGGATTTGAGCTGAAAACTGAACTGATGCCCACAGATCAGACAATCAGCAGAAAGAAGTAAAAGGTCAGGGAGTCAGAATGGACCATAAACAAGTGCCTGCACATGAGGAAAGTTGTCTCTGGTGATGCCCTTTCTTCCTGAAGTGGTATTTTCCTGGTGGCTGGTCATGTTAATCAGCAGAAAGAAGTAAAAGGTCAGGGAGTCAGAATGGACCATAAACAAGTGCCTGCACACGAGGAAAGTTGTCTCTGGTGATGCCCTTTCTTCCTGAAGTGGTATTTTCCTGGTGGCTGGTCATGTTTTTTGATATGGCAGAGCTGCTGAGCTTTCCCAAGGTGCAGGTGATCACTACCGGCCAGCGTGGTTCTGCTTTCTCCTCCCTTGATACTCAGTGGGGTGGATAGATACATGACTAGTGGAAGTCTGTGAATTTCTATGTCAGCAGTAATTTGTTTCTTGTTTTCTTGGCTACTTAGTCATTCATGCTGCTGGTGGCATGGCTGCCAGACTTTGCTGGGACTACGTGAGATGGCTGCGTCATTGAGCAGTGGGAGGCTTTCGGCCCGGTTTGTACTGTACGTCTCTGTGGGCATGAAGGTCAGAGATGGCTATCTCACATCGACATGGCATGGCTTCTAGGGAGTCTGAGTACTTTGTTGTCTCTTCTCCACCCTTCTCCCCACACTCTATATGGTAATCTCTTCCTGTCCTTCCAGGAGGGAAGGGACAGATGGTTTATTCTCTGATTTACAGGTAGGGAACTGTGCTGAGGGGAACACAAGGGCTTGCCCTGCAGGCAGTTTAAAGAGCAGACTCTGCCTTCTGCTCTTGGGCCCTCTGCCTTACATATCAGCCTCTTGCCATTCTGGCCCACCGCCTTATTCTCCTGTGAAAGAAAAGGTTTAAGCCAGAAGGGGCTTGGGGCATTGGCAGGAGTCTTCCCCTTAACAATGCCTGGGTACTAAAGCCCCAGCTGTTGGTTTCCACACTTGTCCTATTCTACTAAGGCTCAGGACCTTGCTCTTGCAATGGGGCAGCAGGAGGGGCAGGATGGATGGAAATAGAAGCTTCTTCACGAGGGAGAACCTTGACCTGGCCACAGATATCCCTTCTCTATTTGGCCTCCCTAGTCTGTGTAACTAGAAACTCAGGGTCCTGTAGTCACCTTTTCTATTGAATCTCCACCATATTAGGCCAGCTCTGAAGCCTGGCTTCTCTGTTTTTTAATTGTTTGAAGTCTTCCTTGTCCTGTCCTATCTTACCAGACTCCTACTAATCCTTTAGTTCTTAGAAAAGTCAGTGCTCCAGGAAGCCATTCTTAATTCTTCCCACCCATTCCCAAGACCCTTTGTTTCATTCTCCCTTATTACTTTATTTTTCCCTACCATAATACTCGCAACATGTTATTATGAAAGTGTGATTATGTTCTCCGTGATATGAGAGACAGAGTATGGGTCTGTCTTCAATACTTAGAACTTGATAGCTTCTTCAAATATTTAAATGAGATTAGGCTTGTTTTTCCTTAAATTTTTTGGGTCATGTATTTGGCCTTTATTTCTTTAGGTCAGGGAACAAAGAGGAGTTGGGTTGGAGCTATTAAGGTGGAAGCACCTGTGTCTAGAACCCAGTTGAATACATGGGTCTGAAACTCATGTAAAAAGGTCATCTCCTGGGGAAACAGATTTGGAAATCATTAGCAAGTCCTGGAAGGTGGCTTCCTATAGTCCCAACGCTGCTACCCAAGCAGTCTAGATTTGTTGTGATGGGGAGGACAGCATTGTAGTAGATGGAGTGCAGGGTTCTCTCTCCAATTAGATTTTCTTTCCCATGGACTTATCCATCCATTTTTCATCACAGAAATGGCCTGCACTTTCAGCCCCCGAGAATGTAAACTGTCCAAACAAGAAGGGCAAAGCTATGGCTTCTTCCTGAGAATTGAGAAGGACACCGATGGCCACCTGGTCCGGGTGATTGAGAAGGGCAGCCCAGCAGAGAAGGCTGGCCTCCAGGATGGAGACAGAGTTCTTAGAATCAATGGTGTCTTTGTGGACAAGGAGGAGCATTTGCAGGTGAATGAGACATTTGGGATTTTTCTACAATCTCTTCGGCCCCCACATCTTTTCTGCTGTAATATTGGCAAAGCTCCCTGGAATCCACAGTGAGCACAGGAAATCATAGAAGAGAAAGTCGCCAGCAGACACCCTGGACGGGAGATATTTAGAAACCCAGGTTGCATTTTCCTACCAAACAGACTAAACCTGCGCCTGAGAAGACATGGTGAGACGAATAAAGACACATATTCTAATTTGTCCAGCATGTTGTAAATAGTTGCTAGCCAATATTTTCCCCCAAATATTTTATAAATAATACTACAAATAACATTTATCTTAAAAATACTAATTCCTGACTATTAATGGATATCTATTCTTAGGTGTGACCATGAGTTAATTCCTTAGTTCTTCTAAGTTCAGTATCTTTATCTGCAAAATTAGAATAATAGTAATGAGAATTTTGGAATAAGAAGAAAAACCTATCTCATATGGATGCTGACAGACTTAAATATGAAATTCCCTTAAAGTGCTTTGCACAGCACTTGGCAATTCAGCTTGGGCCTTTGCCAACAAATACTAAGCATTTTAAAGTCAATAAACAAGCATTTCTAAGGGTACTGCTATTCTGTTTTCTAGTAGAACCCAAGAACCTCTTAGTATTTCCATACCAAATGGCAAATTTTACTAATATAGATTGTACCAACCTTTCTGATGGCCAATATTAAAAATTTAAATGTATGTACAATCTGACTAAGGTGTTCCATTTTAAGAAATACATTCAATAGAAATGGTCTGGCCAGTTTGCTCAGGTGGTTAGAGTTCAGTGTTATAACACCAAGGTCAAGGGTTCGAATCCCCATACAGTCCAGGTGCAAAAAATCAAAACAAAAACATTTGGACACATACAGTAAAATATATATACGAAGATGTTCATTACACTGTCGTTTATAAAAGTGAATAGTGGGAAAACTAAATGTCCACTAATGAAAAAATTGATGATACTTTCATAAATTGGAATACAATCTAACCACTGAAAATGATAAAATCTACGTATCTCTATGGACATGAGGTGGAGAGGCACTGGGCACTCCTGTCCCCTAGTATTTTAGACTGACCCTTTCAGGACAGAGGGTTAGAGCATTGATGCTTCTTTGTTATTCTTTTCCAGCTTCCTTAGGGTGAAGGTGGAAGGGAGAGTGGAGTAAGAGGCAAGAGGCTCTTCATAATAGCTACTTTTGAGTAAGACTGGTGTCTTTCTTAATTTCTCAAAGTACCTGGGTAGTCACTTATTTACTCAACAAATTCTTGAGCACCTATTGATGTGTCAGAAACAGTTATAGTTGCTGAGGATACTGCAGAAATCTCCACCCTCCTGTAACATTTAAATATCCTCAGTTGTGGCCCAGCCTTGACTGTTCTGGGGTGTGTCCCTGATTTCTAGCTGAGAGGTACCTAGTGATTTGAGAAACCCTGGCCATGAGGAAGTACTAGAAGTTCTGTTTCTAGAATTTCAGAGGTGTGGATTGACCCGTGCTCAGTCGACTATACTTGTGTAGTGGTTTCTCTGGGATGCAGGTAGAAACCACAGGAGCTATGTTACCTGGTAACACCTTCAGTGTTGCCCCTGCCCACTTTCTTTCTGGTAGTGGAGAAGCACTAGTGGTGGGTCACAATTTGGTGAGTGATAAAGGAGCAAACCAATGGTAAATTTAAAATAGTTTCCAAGGCTTATTTAACCTGTAGCAAGAGGTGTTATCTAGCTTTAAGAGGTACGAGAGTACTTCAAAAAGTTCACAGGAAGATTTGTATTATTGTTTAATTCTATTTTTCCACAAACTTTTTGAAGTACCCTCACATTTCTCAAGTTTGCTAGTTATTAAACACAATGGTGTAGGTGGTCAAAGGAAGCTTGGCATTTCTTACAAGTCCACTATCAGTAAGATGGTGAAAAAAAAAAAATTCAGATTCTACTCACTTGGCTCTCGTGCTAATGTGCATGGTGAATAGGTTAGCTTTCTTTATGAAGAAAATATTTTCTTCAGGACAAATATATGAAAAGGTAACAAAAGAAATGTTAAGTGTTTAAGGAAGCAGAGTTTGTTACTGTTATACAAGTGATTTAGATAGTCATTATGAGCTATCCTTTGCCTAGATTGAAATGTTAATATCTTCAAATAATTGACAGCATTTCTTTAAGCAGCTCCTAAATCACATTACCTAAGTGTAGGCATGCTCTTCTCTCTCTCCTGTGCCTCTGTCCTATTAGCCTGCATCAGTGAGATTTACTGACTCCCTTGGTGTGTGATGGTTGGTGATAATGCTAATTAAGGAGGAGGGAATGGAATAGGTGCCTTCTAATTCTACAAATGCTAAGAAAGGGAGTATCACACAATGACTCCCTTGGTGTGTGATGGTTGGTGATAATGCTAATTAAGGAGGAGGGAATGGAATAGGCGCCTTCTGATTCTACAAATGCAAAGAAAGGGAGTATCACACAGACTCCCTTGGTGTGTGATGGTTGGTGATAATGCTAATTAAGGAGGAGGGAATGGAATAGGTGCCTTCTAATTCTACAAATGCTAAGAAAGGGAGTATCACACAATGATGCAACAGGGGTATGGTTTGGTACTTTCTGGTTCAAGAGGCCAATGACACCTGACATTCCTTCCTTGCATTTAGTTGGGCTCAGAAATTCTATTCAAATCAACAAATACCCACTGGAAATGGCTGTGTAAAGCCTTGCGCGAAGAGCTTTAACTGAGATTCTAGATCAGAAGCCAAGGGCTATTTGAGTTTGCTCTGAAACTGGAAGTCCTAATTTCACATTATTGGGAGAAAACGTTTTCCATTGGACTTATAGATTTTCTGTGCATTGGAGTTCACTTCCTACTCTCTCCCAGGTAAAAAGGGAGTGTACATGACAGATATAACACCTCAAGGTGTGGCTATGAAAGCTGGTGTTCTGGATGATGATCGCGTGATTGAAGTGAATGGAGAGAATGTAGAAGATGCCAAACACGAGGAAGTAGTTGAAAAGGTACGCCCCAAAGGGGTAGTTTTCTTATACTGTCTTTCACTCTGTTCTCACTGGAAGTGACAGGAAGATAGAGTGGTAGGTGCCAGGATGAGTTTATGATGGGGGGAATATCCAGTTGAGTTGCCCCTTTGTATTAGGGGTGAACAGACTCCCTAGAGGCATAAGCAGTATTAGTATAGGGTTTTGGAATAAGGCTTTGCTAGTTTCACCTCAAGAGGTATAAGGAATCATTAACTTTGTCTTTTCAATCTTATTTATACTTCATTGGGAGCCCCCTCTGAATTTATAATAAATTCAATATTGAGCTGCTGATATGAAAATGTTTTAATAGGAACTGGAAGATAACCAATGTGTTTAATACAGAGCTACACATACAGAATATTGGAAGGCCTGTTACCCCAAATCTTATGTCCCAGCATGGTTTCATAACACATGAAAAAACACTCCAAGGTTTTTCCTTTGAGGTCTGTGGAATATTAAAAATTAGCCACCCTCTTTCCTCTTGATAGAATGATCTCTCAAAGTGGATGCTTATTTTCTTTTCCATTCCAAACTCCTTTTCTAGCCTTCACCTAGAGTTTTCTGAATTTCAGCTCTCACTTGGGTTCAGTTAGCATCTGTGTGGGTAATGTCATTCTTAACGAAGGGAAAAACAACAGCTATAGAAGTAGAGACAGAAAAATGCCAGTTAGGTGGTAGGAAATAGTACAACAACTTAAACTCAGGCCCTGCATCCTGTGTTTTCTGTTGAATCTAAAGACTGTGTGCCTCAATGTGGAAACTTTCTTATTCCCCGGCATTGTTCTGGGGGGTGATGTTGTTCCTCCTCTACATGCGTGGTTGCAGGTGAAGAAGTCAGGAAGCCATATCATGTTTTTGCTGGTGGACAAAGAAACAAACAACCAGCATAGTGAGCAGAAGATACAATTCAAGAGAGAAACAGCCAATTTGAAACTGCTACCCCACCAGCCTCGAGTTGTGGACATGAAAAAAGGAAGCAATGGCTATGGTTTCTATCTGAGGGCAGGCCCAGAACAGAAAGGTAAGGCACTAGAAGAGCAGAAAACCTGGTAGTGTAACCACCAATTCTTCATTCCAATCTGATTCCAGAGCTCCATCAGGCCCCCATCTCCCTACCAGATACACGAGGGGAACAAGAAGACACTAGGAAGCATAGCTGAGTCAGTTTCTATGTCACATGGGGACCTGATGCTGGGCATCCTAGAGTTTCCATATGAGAATAAGGCAGAATTTGGGATCTGGCCAGTGGTATGCTGGTAAATTGGCTCTCTGGAAAAGAAGTCCTAAATTGTAATATCTGTTGATTTGTGGTATAAATACAACCACCATGTCTGATTTCAAGCTATGATGTTGCTGAACACAAAGTTGACAAGTGTTGCAAAGAATTTGCTCCTGTGGGCTGGTCTGAGTAGGCTGGAGCACACTAGATCTGAGGCAGGGGCATGGGTCACCATCCGGGACTCAGATAGAACCAGGAGTCTTTCTGCTTCCTTGTAACGCAACAAGAAAAGAATTAAGGTCCTTCCAGGGAAGATGAGTACATAAAAGAATATAGGCTTAGGCCGTGTAAACTGTTATTCACCCAGAAGTTGCTATTTTCTTCATCTTATATATGTTTACATTAATTCATCAACTATTAATTTGGTTCATGTTATATAAAAACATCCTCAGGGCCTTTGAAAAAATCAGGTGAATCAGACAGGAATTCTTCAGTCAAGGAGCTGCTTAGTAGAGGAGATAAGACACATATATCCATAACTGAAGGTAGACAGTGATAAGCACTTTAATATGAAGGGTGTTCAAAAAGTTCATGGATTTGTATTATCTTTTAATTCAGTTTTTCAATGAACTTTTTGAAATACCCTTGTACAGGGACAGATAAATTACCATGGGAATTCAAGATTAGAGTAAGCTTTTCTCATTAAAAAGGCACTGGAAAGCCTTATTGTAGAGGTGGCACTTGAGCTCAGCCTTTGTAGTATGCGTAGAGTTTGGAAAAGTAGATGGATCGAAGGCAAGGAAGATCATTCCAGGAAGGTAGGAGTCACGTGAACAAAGTGGGAAAATATGGGAATAGTTTGACGCATCTGATATGCAGTCCAAGAATCCAAGTTAGAAAGGTAGGCTGCCGAGGCATGATGAGGCAACTTCAATGTCAGGTAGAGAAGTTCGGACTGGGCTCGTTAGTTGATGGGGAGTTAAAAGTTTTTTGAGCAGTTTGAGGGAGAAGGAAAAAATTAAACCTAGAGTGTCTTGTAGGCTTTGCATATCTCAATTACTCCTACAATTCTGCAAGAATTGCTGAAATTGAAGGCTTAGAGAAGAAGCAGTAATTATGTAAAGTTAGTTAGATATGGTACAGCTGGGACCAAACTCAGGGCTGTTTAGTTCCAAAGCCCATGCTCATTCCATTGCACTGGGGAGTGACTTGGTCAGACATGTGCATCAAGATGGATCAGAAGGCAAATTTGTTTTGGAGGAGAGAATTGGGGAAGGGAAAGCAGTTGGTAAGGTGCTTTAGTAGTTTAGGCAAATTCTAGGTAGCAACTGATACAAACTAAATTCAGAGCAAGGGAGGTGGGACTAGAGAAAAGGGATGTATAAAATATTAAGGCAGCATCAAAGGACTTAGCAATTGATTAAATATGGTAAGTGGATGCTGAGGAAGAATCAGTTGCTAAGTGCTCCACTAACAGGTGACCGAGAGGTGGGGCTTCGTGATGGAGAATAGGCAGAGATGAGTTTTTGGTTTGAATACATTACACTCAAGGGATCTATGAGATATCTTATTAGAAATACCCAGCAGCTAGCTGGAAGAGTGAAACTGGAGCTTGTTAAGATGGTTTGAGGGACAAAAAAGTGTGAGAGATGGGGAGGCATCTGGTAAAGATAGTTGAAGTCAAGGGCCGGCCCGTGGCTCACTTGGGAGAGTGTGGTACCGATAACACCAAGGCCACGGGTTCAGATCCCTATATAGGGATGGCCAGTTAGCTCACTAAAAAAAAAAAAAAAAAAAAGTTGAAGTCAGGAGGAGAAAGCTAAAGACATTTTTGAGGAATGTACACATAAATACATTCACCATTGAGTATACCCAATTGCTACTAAAATGCCAGCATGGAAAGTCTGAAGTCTTCGGTTTTGTTCTTCATTCTTCCTTCCTCCCCCTTTTTATGCCTTAGCTTCTATATAAGGGGTATGGACACAAGTATGCCCACTGGCTTCCTGGGAACTTGCTCACCCTTAATGCTTAGCAGGCTGTTTTGTCAAGATTAAATGTCAGATACTTTTAGTAACAACGTGATTCTTCCCTTTAAGACCCTTTCTTTGTTAATGGTGGGGTTTGTTTCTGGAGTGAGTTGTGAGCAGGAAATGAGCCTGGATAGGGCAGATATAAGATCCCTGAAATGACAGTGTAAGGAACAGTAGTTGTACTCAGCATGCCTTTTAAACCTATTTCACCAGGGCCTTGGACTCCAGCAGAAATCCCAGTTTGTTTAGGGGCCTTTCTGATAATTTTATCTTTTTGGGGGTTGGGGAGGGTAGGTCAAATCATCAAGGACATAGATTCTGGAAGTCCAGCAGAGGAGGCTGGCTTGAAGAACAATGACCTCGTAATTGCTGTTAACGGCGAGTCTGTGGAGACCCTTGATCATGACAGAGTGGTGGAAATGATTAGAAAGGGTGGAGATCAGACTTCACTGCTGGTGGTAGACAAAGAGACAGACAACATGTATAGACTGGTAAGTAATACAAGGCCACATATTCACGCACTAAGGTTGGGCCCATTCTCTCACACCCTCCAAGTTTGGGCTGAGTTACTACTTTGTTCTTCAAACTGGAAGGGGCATAACAATCATCACTAGGGCTAAATTGAAGCTCAAATTGGTAGTGATAAGAGAATGCCAAGTGATTGGTAAATGAGTTTTAAGTCCTTTGACTTAAGATTTTGAAAGAACTTGCGAACATAACTGCAGAATCACTCTTGATGATCTGAGGATATCTGTGGAGAACAGGAGCCTGGAAATAAGCAGATATAGCCCTAACTTTCCAAAATAGGAATTTTAATTTCATGTAAAAGCCTAAAAAGTATTATTAAACAGCTTGTGAGCCCTTAGCAAACAAAGGGAATAGAAACAGATTCACCAAGACTAAGTTGAATCAAACTGCCCTTACTTCCTCCTAACGCTTACTCATAACACCTACTATCTGCATGTTTTAAGGTTTTATAACACTTTTATTTTATCGCAAGAACTGAGGTTCAGCCTAGTTCTAGTCAGACATCTGGGGGCCTTTTAAGTACCATATGCCTTGCTAGGTGTTGGTCATAAAGATGAAGATAAATGGTTCTTGCTCTATGTGATATATAATAATAGGAGCATCCAAACATACATAAATGATAGAGGGAGGAACATTACGAGTGGTGAGATTAGCCCCTTTTTGTAGATTAGGAAATAGAAGCTTAGAGAGATTAAGTGATTTGCTAAAGTCACTCAGCTTAGTAAAGACTGAAGCCAGTCAGTATTTGAACCCAAGTTCTTGGGCTCTTAATTCATCATTCCATATTCCTTCTCAGCACATTTTGATTAGATATTTCAAGATAATCTTATAAACGATATTAAATAATAAACTGGGCAATAGAAAAATAATGGGTTTTTAGCTAGTTGAACAATCATACCTAGAGAATAACTGATATTGGAGCAATGTCAACCTGAACAGAAGTCTCTAATGGCATGCTATTTGTTCCTATCCTAAAATAGTTTATTAAATTTGGATGAAGACATGGAAAACATACTAATACATTCAGATGACTTAAAGCAACCATGTATAATTAATTTGCTGGAAGGTGTAATTAATATTCAAAAATATCTAGTCAGGATAGAATAAAAACAAGATTAAGTTTAAACAGGAATAAATTTCAAGTACTATACTAACTTAAAAGTAAATTGTATGAATACCAAATAGTGAGATCTGCTTTGATGACTATAGAAAAAGATCAGAAATTTGGTGATACTCCAAGTAGCTGCCCCCACCTAAAAAAGGAAATTTAAAGTGACATTAATTGATACTCGGCTTCTGGAGATCATCTCTCTGTACTGACTTAGTTGGACCATACTTGAAATTACTAGTAATATAACCTTTGGCAAGTTATCCTCTCTGTACCTGTTTTCTTAGGGGTAGCTACTGTGAAGGGTGGCTATGAGGGTTAATTGAGCTAATTATTTAGGGTGTGCAGAATAATGCCTCATGCATATAAATGTCACATTTGTTAAGTCAATATTGTGTCCAGTTCTGAGAACCTCACTTTAAGAGGGCCAGTGACAGGAAAGGTAGCAGTTTTTGGAAGCCATCACATGAGTATTTAGCTTAAATAAGCATAGGTTTTGGAAAAGAAAGGAGAGCATCTTCGAGAATTTGAAAGGATATTTATTATTACATATGAGAGGAGTAGACATTTTTTTTAGGTGTTATATGGGGCACAGCTGGACCAAACAGAGGAGCTATCAGCAGCTAGCTTTTGGCTTAACAGTTGAAGATGCCGGAAATGGGGAGTCATTTCTGCAGAGTGGTGACCTCCTAGCTGGTAGAAAAGTGGAAGTCAGAAGTCCACTGCTCTGGGTGTTATAAAGGGGATTCTGGCATTGAGTCTTTTCCAATTCTTCCTAATCTTATGACAGTAGGATCACAGAATGATTTAACTGTAACCTTTCTCTTTTGGTTAATATAAAGGAGGACATTATCAAAAAAGATGCCTGCCCTTATCTTCCTTCCCCCTCCCCAAAGTAAGCTCCATAGGTTGGGGTGAGGGGTGGATCTTTGAGATATTCCAGTGAATAAAACAAACACTGATAACAGTTCCTGGCACACACTAGGCAACCAAATATTTAAATAAAGAATGAATAAAAATTCATTAAGTGTTTTAATGTTACTGTACTATGCCTCAAGATGAGCTGCTATCAGATACAGTTGATTTGCTTGTTTGGGTAGTGATATCAGGTATTTCTGCATGTAATGAGTCACTTTGGAGTCTTTCTCTTTAAAATGTGGAAAATTATCAATGTGGAACATTTGCAAGTACATCACTGGAAGATTTAGTTAGTTGAATTGGGTGACTGCGAGGTTCTGTGGTAGTGCTACTCTCATTTAGAAAGGAAGGAGTTGTGGTCTTGTGGTTAGGAAGACAGATGGCAACCAGAAGACCCCAAATCTAATTTTAGCCAGGCTGCTAAACAGTGTTATATGAGGCAAAGCACACATACTGTGCTTACCTTCAGTTGCTCGATTTCCTATTCACTGCCTAACAAATGTTCTGCACACTTGTGAGCAGCAGTTTAACTGCTGATCCAGGATCACATCATACCCAAATCTGTCCTCCCAACTAAAACCCATAGCCAGCTAAGCTATTAATTCTTTTAAAAAAAAAATCAATCGTGTTTCGTGTTCTATGCCTTTTCTGTATTCAAGACCATCATTGCTTTCCTCACATGGATGGTCTGGGAGTTGAGATGGAGGAGAAGCATTTAAAGATGGTGGGGAGTTTGGTGTAACAGAAGTGACAACTAATGGTTACAACAATAAACAGTAGAGTACAAGTGATCCCAGGACTGGAAGGGGAGGGGAGTGGCAAGTAGCAAAGGGTTGACATGGACTTTTGTTACAATATGTAACCATATGATAGCTGTCACCTTCCCCCAAATCTTTGAGTCTTCAGATAGTGATAAAAAGTGTCTCGTGTTTTACTTTCTCTAATGTGTTTACGGAGCTCTCAGGACCATCTAACTGAAGGGAAGGGTCAGAGGAACCTACTTTGTATGAGATACTAAGCTAGTCACTCAGACGTGTTATATCTCAGAAGTCTAACATGCCCTTATCCATGTTTGGACTTGATAACGCAGAACCTCTATTCTAATCTCAAGAGGGGGATTGCCTATGGGTTGTTCAGTGACTTGTTCACTATCATGGAGTCAGAAGAAACTAGCAATTCTGTTAGACATCTTTTTGGATCCTTGTACAGTGTTCTATAATGCTTTTCATGTACATGTATGCAGTTGTGTACGTCTTTATACATATTACTCTATAACCAAGTTCAGTCTTCTTTTATACCTTTCCTGGTTGGGATAGTTGAGAAATTTTACAGCCTACAGTCAGATATATCTGAAAGAAGAGTGGGACACATATGACACCTTGTAAATTAAACCAGCACATTTGATAAAATATAATTAAGGTGAATGTCTTTTTTTCTCCCTTTATTTTCAAAAGGCTCGTTTTTCTCCATTTCTCTACTATCAAAGCCAAGAACTGCCTAATGGTTCTGTTAAGGAGGATGCAGCTTCCACTCCGACTGCTACTCCTCTGACAGTCTCAAGTCCAGATACTAAAGAGGAAGTTGATCATAAACCTAAACTCTGCAGGCTGGTTAAAGGTGAAAACGGCTATGGCTTTCACTTAAGTGCGATTCAGGGTCTGCCAGGCTCATTCATCAAAGAGGTAAGGTAATCTGTTTCCAGCAGTCCAACAAATACAGTCACAAGACAGTCTTAGCTTCTCCTACCCAATGATGGCTTAGTAAAAAGGTTACACTGAAGGCTACATTGAGGGTCTCACTTGGGTTAGATAAATGCAGTCATGGTCCCGTACCCTTTAAGTTAGCTACCACTACATTGTAAGGTCACATCTTTTGCTTCCCAAACATCTGTTCCACCTAATTGGCTCTCTAGACACTTTCAAATCAAACAGAGTAAACTGGCAGGACTGTAGTTTACAGTCACTACCAACTCTGACTGGCAGTGATGCCCGTTTGCTTCTGTACATTTGGCATACTACCCCTACTGTGTGGATTGACAGTGAGAAGAAGACTGTCCCTGTGCCTCTCACGTTGGGAGTAAGGAAGGGAGACCTAGGTAACCTAATGCCTTCAGCCCAGAAGACACAATATGATATTCAACCATTGTTTGTAACTTATCTGAGTATGGAAGTTGTAGCTATCCTAAGTAGAAAAGCTTTAAGCACCTTTCTTAACTTTGTACTTAAGGAGAAATAATAACATAATAATAAACTCTCTTCAACTATCCTGAGGGGAAGCTAGTCTAACATGCTCTTATCCACGTTTGGAATTGAAAATTCAGAACCTCTCTTCTACAGGTACAGAAGGGTGGCCCTGCTGACCTGGCTGGGCTGGAGGATGAGGACATGATCATTGAAGTGAACGGGGTGAATGTGCTGGTTGAATCCTATGAGAAGGTGGTGGACAGAATCCAGAGCAGTGGGGAGAATGTTATACTCTTAGTTTGTGGAAAGAAGGCCTATAACTATTTTGAAGCTAGGAAAATCCCTATTGTTTCCTCCATGGCTGATCCACTGGATGCCCCTCCAGATTTCAAAGAAGGAACATTGGCGGAGTCACAGCATAACTCGCACATGGCAAAAGAACGAGTGAGTGTTGATGCATTTCTTTTAGTGATCTAACTTGCCAGAGTATGGTAAAGTCCCTAATAAGTATACCTTATGTTTGTGTTTACCACGAATTTTCTAAAATACTAGAAAATGACAATGTGAAGATAACTAGCAAATCAAGTTATTGTGAAGGACAGGAGACAGGACAACAAATTTCTTATTTTCATAGCATGCAGTCAGTAAATCAAGAAATAAAAGAATGAAGCTTTTCAAAACTGTAATAGGAACCATGAGGGAAAAAAAAAAATCAGACTAGGTACCAATTCTGGTTCTGTCACTTATCAGCCTTTGGAAAATGAATTTATTCATGCTTTGCCTCAGTTTCCCCACCTATAAAATAGTGATAATTTGTAGGATAGTTGTCAAGATTATATTACCTAAGACTATTAAAGTGCTTTGAACAGTGCCTGGCTCACAATGAACACAAAAATGAATCAGGATGGTTAATATTTTTTAAATAATTGGCAGGTATTACAGCTTTATTACTAGGAAAGATTAAACATTACCCTGTATAGATATTTGCATTAGATAGATTCCTTGGTGTGTCTGTTTTATATTTTTTCCAATTTCTTTTCATAAATGAATTTGAGTTCCAAAAGTACACTGCCTTATCCAAGTGCATAAAGAAAATTTATGGCAAAGCTAGGATTCTAAAAGTTTAATTCTAGTGATTGGTGATATAAATAACAATACAGTCTGCCCTCCATATTGGTAGATTCCACATTAGTGCATTCAACCAACCACAGATCAAAATATTCAGAAAAAAATAAATTGCATCTGTACTGAACGTGTACAGACTTTTTTGGTCATTGTTCTGTAAATAATACAGTGTAACAACTATTAACATAGCATTTACATTGTATTAGGTATTATAAGTAATCTAGTGATGATTTAAAGTATGTGGGAGGATGTGCTTAGGTTATATGCAAACACTACACTGTATTGTATCAGTAACTTGAGCATCTCTGGGGGAGGTCCTGGAACCAGTTCCCTGTGGATACTCATTTTAATGAACACACACAATAGACATTGACCCTGTATTCTGGAATGCTTAACAAAGAGTATTCTAGTTGTCTTCTAAAAATTCTATAATTCCTCTATGGGAAGTCAATTATAGTACTATGCTAGTCTTATGAAAAAGAAATAGACATTAATTAGTGAATCAAACAGCAAGCTGGAAACAAAGCTAAGTACAAAATTCAAGTCACCTGGCTAGTGACTCTACTCCCTGACTTAAGTCATGCAACTCTAGTGAATCAAACAGCAAGCTGGAAACAAAGCTAAGTACAAAATTCAAGTCACCTGGCTAGTAAGTGACTCTACTCCCTGACTTAAGTCATGCAACTTTAGAAAAGATAATCTCTCCTGATGTTCACACTCTACCACTTGTAAATCCTTTTTCTTTAACACAGGCCCACAGTACAGCCTCACATTCTTCTTCTAATTCTGAAGATACAGAGTTGTGATGAGAAAAAACAACGGCTTTGGCTGACAGCTGTTTCTGGCTGTTTAACAGGAATCCTTTCTCAAGGAGTGAGCTGCCACTTGTTTACTGTCTCTGTTAAAGAACAACTCCTCTGGAAACCATTCATCATGTGTGATTGTCTTCTGTTGTCATCTGCCTTAGGTGCAGCTATTGCAAATGGATTATTTATTGTCAACTTAGAAAAAGCTAAGGCAGAAGCCAAATTCTTTTCATGTGATCTCTTCCAAGCTTCAACCTAAGCACATTTCTCTGTATGATGATATCTTACTTCTATACGATCCTTGAGGACCAAAAATGATTCATAAACCTCTATGTGAGAGCTGCTAATTAAAGTATCTGAGCAGATAAGCCTATTAAAATTATGCTTTTGTAACAATGCTGTGGTTGCTAGAATAAATACCATTAAAAATGCCTTTTGAATATGCTTGAAACTCCTGGTAGCTAGATTTATACAGTACTACTAGATCCCTGTGTCATGAACAATAAGTAACATGGTTAATAGGGCTTTTATTTTGGATAAACTTTTTATACTTTAACCTTCATTTGCCAGTAGAAACCCAAAACGCAATAAAATACAAAATAAGACCATAGTAATAAAGGAAACTTCTAGAAAATAAAACTCAGGATTTTCTTAAATTACATTTCTGAACATTCTAAATATTTTCCTTTTACAGATGAATAAATTGAATCCCAGGCTAGAAAAGTGACTTATTCCAGTAAACAATTATTCATTGTTTTACCCCACAGCATGAGGGGCAGACGGAAACAAAAAATGGAAACATCATTATTGAAATGAAGGGTATTTTACTCTTAAAAATGAATAATACTAAGTTAAAAGGAAATCAGGAAAAATGACATACCCGAAGTCTCTCTTCTGGTAGAATCTATTTCACCCTTTCCCAAAAAAGGACAGATAACCTCTTGGTTATTTTAACAGGGCAGGAGTCGGATGCTAACTCATGGTAGATCACACAAGCATAATACCAAGCTATGCATGACAAAATGAACCTAAGGCCAAATTGTTATAATTTGATTTTAATAACAATCTCAAGGGAAAGCCGTAACCTTCTCCATGTGAACCTTAACTCAAAACAGAAATCCTCTGTGTTTGGCCCAGCTACCATAGACATCTCTTGCCCCAGAGGTCCAGTGTATTTTTCCCCCCTGGTTCTTCTCCTGACTCCCTGGCACTGCACCAGCCTCGAATCTATACAGGATGCTCTCTACTGAGTACTGCCTTGAGTTACTTCTCCCTTTCATGTTCTAGCTGATGCTACTTATGATCACAGTATCATGGAGGAGGAAGGTGTATGCTGGAGGTAGAATATGCCACCACATCATTTTTGTTAAAAAACTATTAGGCCTTGGTCCCCTTCAGTTTTTCCCCTTACATCCAAATTTTGACACCACTGGCCTCTAGCAATCTGTAACAGGCATGAGTTCAAGGTGTCATATGCTTCTCTGGTGCCTGTTTGTGAGCCAAGTAAAGGAATAGTATGCTGGAGAGAGCGCTGACCAGGAAGATCACATCAAACCAACGGTGGTAAAAGTTGAACTGCAGTTCTCCAAGGACTTCAGTGATTATGGTGCGGTACTCTAGAGGCATACTCATTCGGATCAGTAGCACAGAGGAGACGAAGTACATGCCCTGTAAGTCAAACAAATTAACTCTGGAATTATTTTAAATGTAGTAAGGGGCAGGTCAAAGGAAATTGTTAAAATACTTAAAAGTATAAAACACATTTCTAGTATTTTACAGCTGTAAATGTGAAGCTGTTTTGTTAAACTTACCATTATCTGTGCTAATAGCAGGACAATGACATTGGAGGACTTACTGCTGGAGATGGCATAAAAGAACTGTCAGGAAAGGGAAGACAGATGAATTTACATAGTACTGCTAGATTCTTGTGTCATGAACAATAAGTAATATGGTTAATATTTAATTAAGAGTGTCTCTTCAATGCCACAATTCTGTATAGAACAATTCATATGATTAAGGCTAAAAAGAAGAGACTTAAAATAGACTGCTGAAAAAGTAGCTGGTATAACATATGAAAGGATTCCTATCACTATCAAAGCTCAGAAACTATGTGATGCATATGACTTTAACATCATTATAAAACATTAAAACAGATTATTCCGGGCCACTCCAAGCATTTGTAATTGTTACTAGACTCCTGAACTCTTTCCAAACTGTGCTAGATGCCTGGAAATCCCTTCCTGTCCAAACCTCTTCTCTTCATTGAAACAGTGCTTGGATCTTGAGATCACCTACTTTTTCTACTTTCTACCTCCATGAAAGCCTTCCTATGTTGATCAGAAAATGGCTGAATGTTCTGCTCCCCTACTTCTCTGTCTGCTCCACAAATGACTCTCACAATTATTCTTCTTATCTCAAATATCTGCTGAATACCTACCATAAGCCAGGTTCCAGTCTAGATGCTGGTGACATATCAGTGAACAAAAGAGACCCTTATTCTATTACCTCTGTTAAATGTACTTATCTATGATTGGTGCATGATGTAAATACATCATCGCCGATTTATATAGTACTTTTTAAAAAAAATTCTTTTTATGTCTTTTAAATATTTGTGACTGTTTAAAATTTTAGGAGGCAGAAATCTTAACTAGGTAAAATGATCTCATGGTGCCACATGTAATTAAATAAGTACTTTTTAACACTGTGATACAACATACCTTGGTAAGAGTGATCAGCAATCCTCTGATGGATGTGACGATGATTATTCCAACCAGAATGAAGGAAATGTGTTGGGACCAGAACTTCACCTGCCACGATAATGGGAAGAAGAAATACCTGTTAAATCTTTCTTCAGAGAGATGCAAAAGCTAAGATATATTCTGGATCACTTATGTGACTGAGAGGGAACTTCATGAGGTCCTACCTGATTTTTTCTTTTAGGGAAGGAGAAAAGCAAGTAAATTGTGAATAAAACATCTATATGAGGACTGCAGTGGATACCTTAAGTAGCAGACTTAATCAAATCTTAAGGACAGCAGAAAGCAAGTACAATAAAGTGATGAAAATAATACTAATAAATAAAAAAACAGCTAATGATATAGCTTTTTTAAATGAAAAGTAGGAATTAAAAGGAAACTAACTCAATAGTAGGTTGATTATTTTTAGTATCTATGAATAATAGTTGTCTAATCACCCAAAACTTCAAGGAATCTTTTTATGATAAAAGAATATATATACATTCTCAGCTAAGTTTTAGGACATAGCTGAACTTCACTTGAACCACATGATGATAACTTTCTCTCCTCCTGCATTGCTTCATAGTGAGAAGCAGTTTGGGGACCCATGCTTGATTTAGTTCTGAAAAGCATATGAGGGGGAGCTACTATTACTTCGTAAAGGTTTGTTATTCAGAATTATGAAATACACAGTATATAGATGAATTATAGATGAAATATATACACAGCAATTAAGTAGCCTCGGAAAGCACTGATGAGGAGCATTTCGAAAATTTTAGCCCAGTATAAAATTTAAACAAGGAAAACATATGTAACAGTAGCATAGCATGCTTAATGTAATTTATATACTACTTGAAGAAAAGATACCATGCTCTTTGACATGAAAAGAGGATTTCTATTGATCTAGAATCAAAAAATATGTACTTTGATCTGTTTTTCAAGGACTGGAGCTCAATTTGCTCAGATTCCTTTTCCCTTTATCCAGCTACCCTTGAGATCAGGGGCATGTCTGGCTGAGATGGATAGCTGGGGATGGCATGCAGTCTGTGTCTAGGTTGACAGCACAGCTAAATGGCTCACACCGGGACTAAGAATGTGACATTGGTCATATTATCAAAGTGCTATTCAGCCAGAATCACTGGCTATACATATATCTGGAAAATATACTAGTCTATGAAAAATAAAATTAAACTTAAATTGGGACAAGGGTATGTTTATGACAGTGGTATTATAAAACAGGTAGAAAGATTAAAAAAAAAAACCCAAAAAACTTTGTGCATGGGTGACAGTAACCATCTTTAGCCCAAAGTCCACATTACTTAATTGATAAAGATCATTTCTTTTTTTTTTTTTCCTTTTTGTCTTTTTTTGTGTCTGGCAACAGATCTCAACCCTCAGTGTCGTGCCCGTACCGGACTGGGACCAGCAATGGGATCGCAACCCTCGGTGTTGTGCCCGCATCTCGCTCAGCCAGTGAGCGGGAACCGGTCTGTATGTGGGATCCGAACCCTCGGTGGGAGCGCCGCCACACTCCCAAGCGGCGCACTGTAGCAGTGCGCCACCGGGCCGGCCCCGATAAAGATCATTTCTTACAGCAGAAATCATTTCACTCCAACACAGAACGCTAATTGGTAGTTAATTTTCTACCAGGGGAATCAAAGGATAGTTGTATGTTTGAAGAGCTCATCAAGTATCACAGAGAGAAGTATCCGAACACTTGGTGAGAAACTGGTAAAATGGTAGCTGGCTACAGAGGAGGAACTGTAAAATTAATAATAGCATCCATGACAACAGTAAGTACCAGTCATTCTTTATGGTTTTATGTTAAGAAAGAGAATCCTGGCCTTTTACAAATTTGCCATGTGAATATGTCAGAATATACAGAGGAGAGTGGGAAGAACAAAAGCAGAAGCAAGTACCTAAAGTATGGGAATCAGAATCTTAACAACTCTAGTTATAGCAGATAAAAAAGAAAGAAACATAACAAACCAGGGTCTTGATATAACTCTTACATCAAATTGAATTCCCAGATAATTCACAGTGATCTCAATGCCTCTTGTGACAGGATCAGTTTTCCCAACTCGATCAAAAACAATATTGATGGTTGCCTGCAGAGACACAGACCTTTACATTAGGGCATCTTAATAACTGCTATTTCAAAAAGTAATTCAAAATAACGAATTAATCACTACAACATATTTTACAGGTCAATGTTCCTAAAAATGCAATTCTACTGTCAATCCAAATCATATATAGAAAACCTATTTTGGTTACTCACACACAGGCAAACAAAAGTTCCCATCTAGCCCATCTTTCTTTTCTGTAAAGAGTCAAGGGGAATAAGCTATGGCATATATGCCTTGATTTATCAGGAGTCAGAAAGGTAACATTCTGATTGATGAAGTCAGAGAAAAAGAATCAAGGAATCCCAGGTCATTTCCTATTTTTATTTCCTCTAAGAGGAAAAAGTAAAATAACAAAAATGAGTTATAGCTACTAAGCCAACAAAAAAGATCAAAGGGAACCATAAAAAATACCCAATTAATCCCAAAGGTAACAATTTAAAAGAAGGAAAAAGGGAAAAAACTGACAGGACAAATGAAAAACAAATAGCAACATGGTAGTTTTAAACTGAACCATATCAATAATCACATTAAATGTAAATGGCCTAAATCATGGGTTGGCATGCCAAGGCAGTGTGACAGTAGCTACAGACAATACAAAACTGAATGGGCTTTGCTGTGTTCCAATAAAACTTTATTTACAAAAGTAGGCAGTGGTTGGGTTTGGTCTGTGGGCTATAGATTGCTGATCTCTGGTCTAAACATGCCAATGAAACAGCAGAGACTGTCAGTCTAGATAAAAAAGTAAGACCCAACTATACCTTCCTTACAAGAAATCCACTTTAAATAAAAAGACATAAATAGATTGAAAGTAAAAGGATGGAAAATGATATATTATGCTAACACTAATCAAGAGAAAACTAGAATGTCTATATTAATATCAGACAAAATAGATTTCATAACAAAAAATATTACCAGGTATTAAAAGGGTCATTTTAGAATAATAAAGGATCATTTCAACAAGGGGTACATAATGAGCCTAAATGTTTATGTACTTAATAACAGAGCTTCAAAATACATGAAGCAAAAACTGATAGAAATAAAAGAGGAAATCCACAACAATTAATTGGAAAATTCTACAATACTTGGATCCCCTCCCTCAGTTATTAATAAGTAGTCTGAAAATCAGTAAGAATATAGAAAACTTTAATAAGACTATCAATCAACTTGACTTAATTGACATTTATAGAATATTTCTGCCAACAAGAGCAGAATGCATATTCTACCCACGTGCACATAGAACATTTTCCATGTTGAGCTCAAATGACCATATTCGGGGACAAAAAATAAGTCTCAAACTTTAGAAGATTCATGTCATATACAATTTGCTCTTAGACCACATGGAATTAAATTAGAAATCAAGGGGTAGAGAATGAAATTTAGAAGATGCCCAAATATTTTATAACATACTTCTAAATAACCCATAAGTCAAAGAAGACATCAAAAGGGAAATTAGAAAGCATTCTGAACTGAATGAAAATAAAGATACAATACCTCTAGATTTGTGAGATGCAGTTAAAAATAGCACATAGCAAGAAATTTATAGTAATAAAACACCTATGTCAGAAAAGAAGGTCTCTAAATCAATGATCCACCTTAAGAAATTAGAAAAAGAAAATCCAAAATAAGCAGAAGAAAGGAAATAATATCAGAGCAGAAATAAATGAAATAGAAAGCAGAAAAATATGGAAAATCAATTAACCCAAAAGCTGGTTCTTTGAAAAGTTCAATAAAATTGATAAATCTCTATTAGACTGATAAGGAAAAAAAGAGAGAAGACAAAAATTACCAATATCAAGAATGAGAGAGATACTGCTTCACATTCACTAGGATGGTTATAATAAAAAAGACAGATTAATAACAAGTGCTGGTGAGGATATGGAGAAATTGGAACCCTCATACACTGCTCCAGGAATGTAAACTGGTGCTGCCAAATTAGAGAGCAGTTTGGCAGTTCTTCAGAAGGTTAAACACACAGCATATGACATAGCAATTTTACTCCTAGGTATACATGTAAGAGAAATAAAAATATATATCCATATAGAAACTTATACACAAATGTTCACAACAGCATTGTTGATAATGGCCAAAAAGTGTAAACAACCCAAATGTCCATCCACTAATTAATGGATAAGCAAAATGTGGTAAATCCATAAAATGCAATGAATATTATTCAGCCATAAAAAGAAATGAAGTATTGATAGATGCTACAACATGGGTAAACCCTAAAAACATTATGCTTAAGTCAAAGAAGCCAACCACAAAAGACAATAAATTGTATGATTCCATTGCTATGAAATGTCCAGAATAGAGAAACCTATAGAGACAGAAAGTAGACTTCTGGTTGCCGGAGTCTGGTGGAGTGGGACTTTTGGGGATAATGCGAAGTGACTGAGAATAGGGTTTCTTTTTGGCTTGATACAAATGCTCAAAAATTGATTGTGATGATAGTTGCACAACTCTGTGAGTACACTAAGAACCACTGAATTGTACTCTAAATGTGTAAATTAAATGCAAATTATATCTCGATAAAGCTGTTATATAAAAAAAGAATGAGAGGAATGACATCTCTACAGGCTCTATAGACAGAAGGATAATAAGGAAATATTATGAGCAATTTTATGTCAATAAATTTGACAACTTCAATAAAAATGGGCAAATTCCTTGAAAGACACAAACTGCAAGAGCTCACTCCAGGAGAAATAGATAACCTGAATAAACACTGTATCTTCAAAGAAATTAAATTTCTAGTTAAAAAAATCTTTTTGGTAAATTCTTCCAAACATTTAAGGAAGAAATCATAACAATTCCACACTAACTTTTCCACTAATTGGAAGAGGAGAAAATACTTCTCAACTCATTCTCTAAGGTCAGCATTATGCTGACACCAAAACCAAACGAAGACATTATAAGAAAAGAAAACTATAGTCCAATACATCTCATAAATATAGATGCAAAAATTCTTTGCAAAATTTTATCAAATTGAATCCACCAAAATATAAAAAGGATAATTCACCATGATCAAGTACGATTTATTCTAGGAATTTAATATTCAAAATTAATGAATGTAATCCACTATAATAGCAGACTAAAAAAGAAAAACCATATGGTCATCTCAATAGATGCGGAAAAAGCATTTGACAAAACCCCAAACCACTACATGATTAGCAACATTCAAAAAACTATGATTAGAAGGAACTTCCTCAAACTAATAAGGGGCATCTAGGAAAAACCAACAGCTAACATACTTAATGGTGAAAGACTGAATGCTTTCTCCCTAAGATCAGGAACAAGACTAGGATGACTCCTTTTACCACTTCCATTCAACTTAGTACTGAAGGTTTTGGCTAGTGCAGTAAGGCTGGAGAAGAAGAAGAAAAGAAGGAAGGAAGAAGGGGGAAAGAAACAATCTAATTAAAAGATTGTCAAAAGATCTGCATAAGTACTTTATCAGAGAGGACATATGGATGGCAAATAAGCACATGAAAAGATGCTCAACATCATTAGATATTAGGAAAATATGAATTAAAATCACAATTCAATACCACCTTGCATCTATTAGACCATCTAAAATTAATAAGACTGGCCATATGGAGTGTTGGCAAGAATGTGGAGCAACTGAAACTCTCATACACTGCAGGTGGGAATGTGAATGGTATAATCTCTTTGGAAAAGAGTTTAGCTGTTTCTTCAAAAATTAAACATATGTCTGCCATATGACCTAGACCTTCCACTACTGTTTACCCAAGAGGAAAGAGAGCATATGTCCATTTGTGGCCTTTACACAAATGTTCACAGCAGCTTTATTTGTAATATTTCCAAACTGGAAACAACCAAATATCCATCAGCATGTGAATGGATAAACAAACTGCGGTATATCCATCAATGGAATACTACTCAGCAATAAAAAGGAATAAACTACTGATACACAATAAGATAGATGAAACTTAAAATAATCATGCTGAATAAAATAAGCCAGAGAGAAGAATGATATATACTGTAGGACTCCATTTACATAAAATTCTAGAAAATATAATCTAATATATAATGACAGAAAACAGATTTGGTGGTTGCCTGGAGACTGGGAGTGTGGGAGAGGCATTACAAAGAGACATCAGAAAACTTTTGGATGTGATGAATAGATACAATCTCTATCTTGACAGTGGTTATGGTTGTTGTACAGGTATGCACATATTTCAAAACTCACCAAATTGTATACTTTAAAAGTGTACAGTTTACTGTATGTCAATTATACCCCAATAAAGCTGTTAAAAAACAATATGCTCCCCTAAAAGCTGCATCTCAGGAAAAAACCTTTTAGTAGCTTAGCTGACAGAACACAGTCTTCATTCATACTCTCCCACTGAATGAATCAAGATTTTAAAATGTCATCTTAGTGGTACTGACACCAATTTATTATCACATTAGATCCATTAAATCTAAAGTCCCTTGTTCATCTACATTGATCAAAATTAACTAACGAGCTGACAAAGCTCCTCTTTGTGCAAACACAGCCCTGGTAGGAAAGTCATCAAATCAGAAAGCCAAATCAGCCTTTTCTGTAATCACACTGAAATCCATTAATAGCTGCAGATGAGTCAGAAGTAAAGACAAATAATGTACATGAAATGCACATAAAGGATAAAATATTAAGGGAGAGCCTCTAAAGAATAAGAGCTACAAGCATAGGAGATAAGTTTATCTTCAGAAATACATTTTAAAATTTACTTTGGGCTTAATTTTTTAGGTGTACAGTTTACTAAAAAGGACAAGTATCTTCTGTCCTGAGCTGAAGGTAGGAGTTGAGGTTACCTCCAGTCATACTCATGGTCAAGATGGAAAGCAGAGTGTAAAATAAGAAACATTCATATTCGATTCATGTATTTCATAATCTAAAGCTTTCTTGATAATTTCTGACAAAAGAAAAATGCAACTTTCCCTTTTCTAGGTCATCTACAAAGGAGAGGGGAATAAGAGTGGGGCTCTGAGATGTGAGAGATCATGCTCCCTGTTGACTCAATAAAATTTGGAATTTAGTTCACGGTATCAATCAAGCCCACTTTTATCTTCCTGCCCTTACCAGGGAAAATCACCTAAACCCTGACAGTTAAAAATAATATACTTACCATAAAAATTTTCCAAACACAGTAAATAGAGAAAAAGTAACCGAGAAAATTAAAATATTTCCCTTTGAAAGTTTTTGAGTATTCTATTCTCTCCTGAGGAAAAAACAAACACAAAACATGGTTTACCTCAGCAAAATGTAAATTTATATTCAACAAAAGTATTCCTCCCTGTTCAGGCTGAGTCAAAAAACAACACATGGTAATAATAACATTAAAATAATAGTAGTAGGAGTGGTCAACATTTATTGAATGCTTACTTTAAGCTAGAGACTGGGATAAACATCTTACATGCATTAAACACTTTAATCTTCGTAACAGTTCTGAGATGTGCTCTATTACCTTAATTTTACAGATGAGAAAACTGACACTTAGAGAGGCTAAATAACTTGCCCAAGGTCACACAGGTGGTGAGTAGGCTCAGGTCTGTCTCCAAAACTTATGTTAACTTATTCTATCCTATATGCCTACCCCTGTAAAGTTATCCTCAAAAAGGATTAAAATAGTTTGCAACCTTTACTAATAGATTTTGCATATTTAAATTATATTGTACTTTAGGTGTACAGAGGAAAGTTACTTCTTGCAGTTAGGACACTTCTTGATCTGGTTGCTTTAAAATAGGACTAGGACATGACAGGTAGGTGCTCTTGCAATATTACTAACTTGTAAGGGAATGAAAAGGAATCAGAGGAGCTACCACCTTCATCTCAGGTTAGTAGGAAGCGGTATGTGCCATCTTCTTAGATGTTGAAAAGCCTCTTCTGACCATCCCACCAATTTCTACTATTGAGAATGTTCCATTAAGGATTCTGCTAGTGATAGAAGTGAGTTCATTAAGAGTGCAGACCCCTTAACCCTAATAAATCACAGTTGATACTGAAGCTGTGAGGTGTTTCTTGCATTACATGGCCATAGAGGACACTAAAAAGCCATTTAGTCTTGTTCTCTCTTCAATCTTATTGGCAAAACCACACTTCAGTTTCCTTGCTATGTACCTTGGTAGCATATAGATCAGCTGTTTCCAGAAAAAGCTGCCTGCTTAGTTCTTCCAAAGCATCCACTTCCTGTTGAATAACAGTAAGATCTGGTACAAAATGGGCATCAAGGTTTAAATCACATAGAAATTTCAAGAAATAACAATGAAGAAATGCTTTTGGTCTTTCCTATAGTGGATCCCAGGAATTGCCTGTTTCAATTTCCTGCTTCACAGCCGGCAGTGCTACTTCAGAGCAATTATCCCAACCTCTGACACAGGTGCATAAAAGCTTCTCCACTAACAGCATCACCACCAAACACCTAACCCTCAGTTTCTCCCAAATCAGGTGGCTCAGACAGGTTTTGTCCTTTATTTTTATCTAGTTAGATTAAGTCAAAATTCAAAATAACAAAGGGCTTCATAAAACACCTTTAAAAAAGCATAGTTTTCTTCTATATTATCTGAATAAATACAATGCTAGGAAAGGGAACTAACATTTACCAAGTTCCAATAAAGGCTGGGATTTACAGACATTACTTTCTTTAGTTTTTTTTTGGTGCCTGGCTGGTATATGGGTGGAACCCTGGACCTTGGTGTTACCAGCACCATCCTCCAACCAACTGACCTAACTGGCCAGTCCACCTTCTTTAGTTCTTTAAAGACATTATTTTCTTTCATTCTTATAGCAATCCCATCAGAAAGGTGTTATCAATTTTGCAGATAAGGAAAGTGAAGCTCAGAGAGTTAAATAACTTTCTCAAAGTCACACAGCTAATAGGTGTGGATGAAAAGTCAGATCTGCCTTACTTTAAGGCCTGTTCTTTCCACTACACTATGCTACTTTCCAAGAATTCAGTGAGGTAGAGTTTTTCTCCCCATTTAGGAAACAAAGGCTCAGAGAGGATAATAAATAATTCTGTTATGTTTGTTGTCTTATCATCATTAAAATATCTCAAATCGACACCATTGGCTTTATGGTCTTTTAAGTAATAAAAATAGTAAAGATAGCCTCTTCTAAAATAGAAGGATTGATTTTAATCCAGATCTCCCCTTCCTCCTCTCTGTGATTTTTCCCATTATTAGACAAATCAGCAAGTGCCCTTCCGTTCCTTCCTCAACATTGGCTACTATTTGCATGGTTCAGGCCACCAAACATGATCTACCTTGTTACATGTCTGTTTCTTCCATGATTAGATGGTAAGCTCTTTGAGGAGAGAGGCTAACTCTATTCATCATTTTATCACTTAGCACTCTGCTTGGAAATACGAGATGTGAAATAAATGTTTCCTGATTAAATGAATTCATTTAATTTCCTGATGAAATAAATTAATCCTTTTTATTTCTCTTTTATAATCATCCTGCCTTTCTTTGGTCTTATTCTTATCTGCATTTGACACCAGAAGGACACAAGTCATAATTTCCAGCAAGAACAGACTACATCCTCTTCTTCCAATTGAAGCAAAAGGGAATCTGTATTTCCCTGGGCCAGAGAAGGAAACAGGAGTCTGCTGTCTCAAGCCTAGTCCCCCAAAGTTTTGACCTAATAGCCTGGGAGCCATATAGAGATTTGGTTACCTAATTTGGGAATTAGTTCAACCACTTGGGCCAAGAACAATCTATCAACCCAATCTTGTTGATTCTTTAAACCAAAAAGTCACTGGAGAAGCACAGCTACTTCAGATTTACTTAGGAATACTAATTACTTTAGAAATGGGCCCTTACCATCCCATACATAAAACATCCATTTTAGGGAACCATTATGTTTTGTGGTGGTTTTTCAAAGTCGGGAAATTTGACAGTGTAGTGGAAAGTACTATAAAGAGGAGACCACAGTTCTGTTCCTAGCTTTGCCACAAACCACTGTGTGACTTAACCTCTCTGGGTTTATTTTCTCATCTGTAAAATGGAAAGACCCCTTCAGCTCAAAGACAATGATTTTATGATCTTATAAGTGTGTTGGAAAGATGACTCTGTACACATTGTATTTCCTAAGTCTGGCCCTGGTCAGTTTGGACTCTGATGCAGTCAGATATCTTAGAAGTGACTATCCCAATACTACCTGTTTCTTCTGCCCTTGGTCCAGAGTTGAGAAAAAGAATCAAACAGAGGGACAAAGGATACTTTCACTTCCTGGTGCTGAAGTGGTAACACTCTTTATTATTCCCCAGAATCCTGATGGTTTGTTATGCACCTCCCCCTTCTGGAACATATTTCTCCGTGCCATTGCCATTCTGAAATGAAAGAAAATATAACCTCAGCAAGCAAGCATGGACCCTCATAGTCCAGTCTCATCCACTTTCCAGTCTCACAACTGCCTCTCATTTGCTGAGCTGTTCAGGGAAGGATGCTGATTCTGGAGTCCCACTTTTCCACTATTCACAACTGAAGGGAAACTGTGGGAGTAATGCGGCCTATGTGAAGAAGCATGGAATTTGGAGTAGGCAATAAATTTGAGGACTAGCTCTGTCACTTAAGAGGCTGTGAGACCTTAAGAGTTTTCATTTCATCTCTCTGGATGGTTGTGAAGATCAATAAAATAATATATAAGAACTCATATTGTCGGGGCCGGCCCAGTGGCGCACTGCTACAGTGCGCCGCTTGGGAGCGTGGTGGCGCTCCCGCTGAGGGTTCAGATCCCACATACAGACCGGCCGCTCACTGGCTGAGCGAGGTGCGGACGCAACACCGAGGGTTGCATCCCGTTGCCGGTCCCGGTCCGGTACGGGCGCGACACTGAGGGTTGCAATCCATTGCCGGTCACGAAAAAAGACAAAAAGGAAAAAAAAAAGAACTCATATTGTCAATTACAAAGTGCTACACATATATTAATAATTATTACGGTTACCATTTAAGGACAAAAAATAGCTAACACAGCTAGCTACGATGGAGGAGAAACTTTTCAAAAGTAGACAAAAGGGGGCCGAGCCCGTGGTGCACTCGGGAGAGTGCGGCGCTGGGAGCGCAGTAGCGTTCCCGCCACGGGTTCGGATCCTATATAGAGATGGCTGGTGCGCTCACTGGCTGAGCGCGGTGCAGCCGGTCTCAAACCCCAAAAAAAAAAAAAAAAAAAAAAAGTAGACAAAAGGAAAAAACCAAAATCACATAAACCTGGACTCTTCTAAAACATTAGTCTCCCTCTAAGTCCAATCCCTTGCCCACTGTAATCTCTTCCACTACTGAATAAATCAACAGGAAACCTCTTATCCTCGTTAGTCTGTGAATGACCCACTAGCACAGTGGTAGCTGTTGGGATGTTCCCACCCACCACAAAGGTGTTAAGAACAGAGTCCCGTGAGGTTAAAAAATAAGGTCTTTTGTACATAAATGATTACTTGAAGGGTTTAATGCGCCAAGGCCTACAGGCCTAAAGTGAAACAGGATGAGTCTAATAAAAATAGAGTAGCAGGACTAACGAAAAATTTACCTCAAGGTGGATATTTCTGTGTGACAAGAGATAAAAGAGGTGAGGAGGAAGCAGCAGCATTGATATTTATGGCTAGGACCAATACAAATGGTATTAAAGGTACCAAACACCAAATGGTATTTATGTGGGCTAAATTCTGTAAGTCATTAGGTAAAATGATATTAACAAGAAAGAATGTTTAGTGTGTCAACCACGTTGACTTAACTGTTTCCTCCTCAGAATGACCTCTGTCTGGATACTGAGTGAATGAAACATACCTCTGAAGTTTTAGCTCTTTCTGCCTTTTCTCTAACTATATACATCCACTGTAACACAGCATTTTGGGAAGATGTAATAAACAGCCAAGAAGAGGCTCAGACGTAGGGAGACTCTGACTTGGCAAGACTCAGAAATTTGTAATTTTTCTATTTTCACAGTTGGGAAAGCTAGAACACATACATGAAGAAGAGAGAGGTTCTTTCTATTCCACTCATTTAATAGTTCACTTGAGCTTAACATGCTGGAAGAGGCAGTAGAGAGAGAGGGAGCACAGAAGCTCAATTCTATTGTCCTTATTTTCAATGTCTACAATACAGCAAACACTAATGACTGGCTGTGGAGTGGAACTGGTTGAATATGTAAAGGTGGCTAACATTGTACTGTGGTCTCATTACAGGCAGAGAAGTATAATCACTAGAAGAAGTGGAAGTTAGCTGCACACAGACAAGCATGGCCTTGTCTTAAACAATTCACTTTCACTTTTGATTCTATCACTTAATTCTAAACCACTTTTGCTCTTATCAAATAAGTTGTAGATGAAAAAAATATATTTAAGAAGTAAAGGTAACAATATCGAACATTCTGAGATGTGGTGAAAAAGAATTAAAAAAAAAAAAAAAACAATACAGGGTACTACAGAAGCACATCACCTTCATCTTTCACTTTTCACTACCAACAGTGATCATCATCACTGATGCCTCTTTATGACAAGGGTAGCTCACTACAGAAAATTATTCGTTATTAGCTGAATGTCCTTTAAAAATTCATAATATGGAAAAACTTGGCTGAGGTTTGGGAGTAGTGTACAAGAGAAGAGGCTGAAAAATGTCTACTATGATTTAAATATGTCATTCTAGTGTTTTCTGGTCTCCATTGTTTCTGCTGGGAAGTCAGCCATTATTTTTCTTTTTCTTTTTTTTCTTTCTAAAAGATGACCAGTAAGGGGATCTTAACCCTTGACTTGGTGTTGTCAGCACCATGCTCTCCCAAGTGAGCTAACTGGCCATCCCTATATAGGGATCTGAACCTGTGGCCTTGGTGTTATCAGCACCACACTCTCCCAAGTGAGCCACGGGCCTGCCCCTTTTTTAATTGAATTTTTTATTTTGAGATAATTGTAGATTCATATGCTGGTTTAGGAAACAATACAGAGAGATTCCATGTACCCTTTACCCAGATTTCCCCAACTGAAACATCTTTGCAAAACTGTAGTATAACCAGGATACTGACAATGGCATGGTCAAGAGACAGAACATTCCATTACTGCAAGGATCCTTCATGTTGCTCTTGTATAGCCTATTTCCTTCTCACCCCCAACTTCTCCTTAACTCCTGGCAAACACTAATCTGTTCTCCATTTCTATAATTTTGTCATTTCAAAAATGTGTATGTAACTAGAATCATACAGTATGTATCCTTTGGGGATTGGCTTTTTTCACTCAGTATAATTCTTTGGAGATTCATCCAGGTTGCTGTGTGTATTAATAGTTTGTTCATTTTTATTACTAAGTAGTATTCCATGTAATCGATATACCAGTTTATTTAAATATTCACCCATTAAAGGATATTTGGGTTATTTCCAGTTTTTGGCTACAATGAATAAAGCTGCTATAAACATTTGTGTACAGATTTTTGTGTGAACATAAATCTTCATTTCTGTGGATAAATGCTCAAAAGTGGAAATGTTGGTGTGTGGTAACTGCATGTTTAGTTTTGTATGAAACCGCTAAACTGTCTTCTGGAGTTACTATACCATTCTACATTTCTATCAATGTATGAGTGATTCAGTTTCTCTGCATCTTTACTAACATTTGGTGGTGTCACTAAATTTTTTTTTAGCCATTCTGATAGGTATATAGTGATATCTCATTGTAGTTTTAATTGCATGTCCTAATGGCTAATAATGTTAAACATCTTCTCATGCATCTTTATATGCCATCTGTATGTCTTCTACAATAAAATTTGTTTATGGTTTTGACCCATTTTCTAATTGCTCTGTTTTTTAAAAATATAAGCTTTGAAAGTTTCTCATTATAGACAATAGTCCTTTCTCACATATGTGGTTTGCAAATATTTTCTCCCAGTCTGTAGCTTGTCTTTTTAGCCTCTGAACAGGGTCTTTCACAGAGCAAAAGTTTTAAATTTTAATTGAGTTTGATTTATCAATTTTTCTTTTGGTGGATTATACTTCTGGTGTCAAGTTGAAGAGCTTTTTGCTAGGTCCTGGATCCCAAGGATTTTCTGATTTTTTTTTCTAAAAATTTTATAGATTTACATTTTATATGTAAGTCCATTATCTATTTTGAGCTAAGATATATATAAGGTGTGAGACTTAGATTCAGATTCATTTTTTTGCCTATGGATGTCTAATTGCTCCAGCACTACTTGGTGAAAAGCTAACTTTCCCCCACTGAATTACTTTTGTATCTTTGTCAAAATTAGCTGGGCATATTTGTGTTGGTCTACTTCTGAGTTGTCTATTCTGTTCCATTGATCTATGCCTGCCAATACCACACAGTCTTGATTACTAGAGGTACATAACAAGTTTTGAAATTAGGTAGACTGATTGTTCTTTTTCAAAGAAAAAAATTAGAGCAATTAGCTATTCTACTTCTTTTGCCTTTCCATATAAATTTTAGAATAAGTTTGTATATATCTACAAAAAATCTTCCTGGGATTTTGAAGTGAATTACCTTAAACATGTATCAATTTGGGTAGAATTGACATCATTACTATTTTGAGTCTTCCAATTCATAAACATAATATATCTCTCCATTTATTTAGATCTTCTTTGATTTCTTTCATCGGTTTTATAATTTTCAGCATATAAGTCCTCACATTTTGTTAGTCTTACACCTAAGTATTTCATTTTCCTCTTGCTGCTTTAAAGATTTTCTTTCTCTCTGTCTTTTAGCAGTTTGACCTTATGTACCTAAGTGTAGTTAGTTTTCTTTGCGTTTATCCTACTTGGACTTCTTTGAACTTCTTAAATCTGTAAATTAATGTTTCCACCACATTTGGGAAGTTTTTGGCCATTATTTCTTCAAATACTTTTCCTGCCCCTTTCCCTCTTTTCTAGGACTCCAACTACAAGTGAGTTAGACTGCTTAATATTGTCTCATACTGAGACTTTGGTTCATTTATCCTCAACCTTTTATCTCTTCTTCTTCAGACTGAATAATTTCTATTGATCTACACTGGAGTTCACTGATTCTTTCTTCTGCCATCTCAATTCTGCTGTTTAGCCGAACTGTCACATTTTAGGACTTACACTCTCTGTGGTTCTTTTACTTCTAGGGATCTCTCTTAAATGTCTAATTGCTTTGTCAGTCCTGAGTTCTACCCTAAGACACCTCAAGCCAGTAAGGGTTTCGCTTTCTGTCATCCAAACTGTGTGCCCAACCTGTATAGTCCAGGCAACACACTCAATCAAAGGCATAGCAAACTTGCGAATCTCACTAAGAAGCAATTCTGTCTTTCAAGGGTAGGGTCCCTTCTAGTTTCTGCCTACTTTTTCTCAGGCTCTCTGGTATTTCCTGTGAACATGCA